GGCCATCAAATAAAAATGATAAACGACATTTACCTATTGTCAGAGTTGGATCAAATACATCAGTATCATCAGATGTTAAAAAATCTGCACATAGGAAATATGTGACAATTACAAAAGATCACAAATTTTCTCTATTAAATACAAAATTTAATCATGTTTGTGAAATAATCAGTTCTGTATTGATTAGTATTAAGTTGCCATTTCGTATTTACAAAGTAATTTTTTCAATCAACACACGTAAGTATCTTTTATAAGAAAAAAAGAAAATTGTTGATTAAATACTTTTAGCTATATTTTCAACAAATTCAATAATTCAACCTTCTGTTCATCATTTAATAATTAAACGTTGTTTATATAATAGAAATGAAATGTCAATACTTGCTCATCAATTTCCATGTGTTAAATATTTAAAATTAGATCTTCCATTAGACAAATGTTCATTTATTGATTGTTTAAACATTGTACGCAATCGAGAAGATAATATTCAACAGAAGAGCTATTATTGGACTGAATTGGTCTGTTTTTCAACTCAATTGTGTGATTTACACAAACATATTATTTCAAATGAAAGTCAATTGTACGATTGGTTTATTCAATATATAAATTTAACATATCACAAAAATTCTATTAAAGATGGTCGTGTTTCAACTTTAACTATTTGGTATTGATTAGTTTAATAGTTAAGTAAAAAAAATCATGTGAATTTCTATTTTATACTAGATCAATAAAATATTATCTTAATTGCATTTGTTTTTCGTAACAAAACTACTGAGTAGTGTAACACCAATGATTTGTTGGACAAGACTTTGAACAAAAAAAAGATTTTTATCCCACATAGTCCTTAGTCTATTTGAATCTGTATTAATCAATAGAATTGACAATATTTCTAAATAGATGCACTGTATCACAAGTGAAAATTAAGTCTAACACGCTGAATACTTTGGACTTGTAATAGTTTCAAACCTAAATAAAACTCAATTATTGAACTAATCAATTGACATACAAACTATTTCAAAGAAACAATTGAGTATTTATTTGTACGGTTACAGGGTGTATAAAAACCATTACACTTCTCTACAACTGAAAGTAGAAAATGATACTACAAAGTATTTTATATCAAAATCAAGTATTTCTCGGGAAAGTAAAGATTTCTTCTTCTTTTTTTAATACTAGAAATGAAAAATTATATTGAAGCATAAAGGTTTACATGAAAATACAAAGAATTTTAATTATGTTTCAACGAAAATCGTCTGAAAGTAAAATTAGAAATGAGTTAGTTGAAAAATATTTCTAATTTCTCTATATTATAATTTGATATTTCAGTTTAAATTTCAAATAGCTAAAACTGAATTTAACTTCAATCAAGTCTCCTAAAAATTGTTTACATTAGCGATAACGAAAAAATTGCGGAAAATAAAAACATAATTGAAAATTAGCGCTATTCAATTTTATGTCATTAATCCCGTATTCTATGACACAAATATCTGTTAACAGTGGAATTTGAAAAACAGTGTAAAATTGTATTAAATAACATCTCAGAATACTTAGTCGTATGGTTCAATCAAATAGATGTCTAGCAATGAATATATTAAGTATATGATCGAATATAACCTTCTTCTCTTATAATTCTGTCATTTAGATCAGTCCGAACTTGTCCAGTACTTCACAAGGCTACAACTGGCTATTGAAAACGTACTAGATGGTTAGTGTTTTTCTTAAAACAACGAAACTTAACAAATAGAATGATTGCTGTCGATTAAGTCGTCTGAATGTGAGCTATGGACTACAAATAACTTTGGACTAGTCATGCTTTAAGATTTTGTAACAAGAAGGCTAGACAGGACATAGCGTCATGACTAAAAAAAATGACTAGTCCTTCTATTCGTTCTTTATTCGTATGAGCACGCATCGCCGATAGCTTTTCCTTTTCGTTGAGTTACATTGCATGAATCTTGTTGATTACTAATATGAAACAAGTATCCGCCTCTTATAGACTAAAATATTTTTCAGATCGCTAACAGACTAATTTATGTTAAGGAACCAAAGAAACTTGTGTATTTGACAATATTTAAATCTACATAAAACTAATATTTTTGTGGAATGCCATTTCCTTGAATGAACTTATTGTTACATTATCGACAATCTCATCATGGATTATTTTATTGAAGTGTGATCATGATCAACAATAAAATGAGAATTCTAAACATTATTCGTTGAAATATCCCAAGTGAGCAAAAAATGACGAAAGACGGCGTCCATGACTAGTCCAAAATGTCCACAACGCCCGTCAAGTCTAGTCTGAGACGTCTTGCACACCCGTCACGACTAGTCACCTTTGGAGAAATGTCCTT